CCAATCATTAGACCATGCTTTTATTGATGTTGCCAAGGTTGATGATGAAGAGTGCAATATTGAGGATGTCAAAAATAATACAATTTTGGAGTTAGAGCGTATTGGACCTCATTCTAAATATTTTTCAACATTGTGTTTGGTTGGTGACATGAGAATTGATCCAGTCGAGCATATGAAGGAGTCAATGGATGAGGGACAAAGTGCTTATATTCTGAAATTTGTGATGCCAAGGAGACAAAACGACATCCCGCACTTAAAAGTCAAGAAGTGCAAGATGCGATATTATTTACTGGTTCCTTTATTTTCATACCACCGCCCCAGGAACGTGACAGAAAAATTGATGCAAAATTGGGGACGCAATTTATATCCTCAAAGTTGAAGGAAAAGTGATGAAAGTGATGGCGTCGTGCCGCGACGTTAAATCAAGCACTTGTTGGGAGGCAACCCAATTTTATTTTTTATTTTTTTCTTTTGTTTATTTTTTTTATTGTGTTATTTCTTTTATAGTATTATTTTTGTGTTTTGTAGGAGTAGGAGCATGGAGTCAAAGCTAATAGGCATGTGTAAAAGCAAGCAGGTGGTTGAAACTTTGTGTGAGGTACCCGCACATGGGATCATACGTGGGAGAAGTCTGAGTATCCCGTGAGCTGCTAATTCTTCGGCCTTTGGCCTACCAGGGAGTCTCTTTTACCCTCTTATTATTTATAGTGTACATTGAGGACATTGCACAATTTTAAGTGTGGGGTGGGGAGATTGTCTGAGTGACTTTCTATGCTATTTTAGTTGTGTTAGTTTAATTGAATATTTTTTTTTAGAAAAACGAAAAAAAAAATTAGACTTTTCCCGACGATGGATCTCCTAGACAGTTTTCTTGAAGGATGTATGTCTAAAGAGAAAGGACAAAAAGATTTTCCTTGTAGATAGTGTAGCAATTCCCTCTTGGTTTTTCTTTGTGCCCCGGTTCTTTTCCAAGGGTTTTGTTTGAACCGGGTGTGGGTAGTTTTATTTTTTTTTAGGAGAGAAGCCATGGTGATGTGAATTGAATTGAATCAATATCTTCTAACTTTGTCATGCCTTGAGAATAGTGAGTACTTTAGTTGTGACGCTTAGGCTCAATTTTTGACTCTTGTATAAGTACCTTAAATTGTATGATCTTAACTTTGCTTAACTTCTTTGACTAGAGTGTCTTGATGAGTCCAATCCTGAGTGAGTTATGTGCCATGTGTGTGTAAGGTTTTGTGTTATTCTGTGCATTGCATTCGATGTCTAGAACTTGCCCCGTGTGTTTACAAAGCGAAATAGTAGTTTTGTTCAGTCTTGGAAGTGATATAGGCGTTTCTTTGTTGAGCCATATAAATATTTTACCCGCCTAATTATTATGTATCATAGTTAATCCCTTTGAGCCTGTTATCCTGTTTCTTTGACAACCACATTACAATCCTTACTCATTTGTTTGAATTAACCATCTATTTGAACATTTTCACCTCTCATGATGCACTTGAATTGTTATGAACTTTGTAAAAGTTAAAGTATCGGGTGGTTGGTTTGGCTTTTGAGTGGAATTAATGAAATAAGGAGAAAGGTGCACTGTTTTGAAAAAAGTAAGAGCCACTTGAATTGAAAAAAAAAGATAGTTGTACTGCTGTGAAAATATTTGATAGTGGTGACTCTTGATGTAATTGTGCTTAAAAAAGTGGTGAGTTAATATATATTGATGTGAAGGTGGAGTTATGGTTTGACATAAGTATGGAGTTTTGAATGTTAAAGTATATGTATTAAAGTGCTTAGGGAGGTGTAGTCACTCTTATATCTAAATGTATCCTACCCGTCCCTTAGCCTACATTACAACCAAATAAAGTCCTACTTGATCCTAGACTGAATGAGCTCGATTAGTAGAGTAATACACTACGGGCAAGCCTATGGTGCATCTTTTGTGGCATATGAATGTTATTTCTGAGAGTGAGTGAATTCTTTCTATCTTGAGTTCCTAAGTGTTCTTAAATTTTATTGTGTGGGACTACTCTCGCTAGTTGTGTGAGGGCACTTGATTCATGAAGGAAAGGTAATGTCATTGACCTCTATGTTAGAGTAAGTGGGTGAGTTGCGAATAATGCGGTACTTGTGAGTCAAATCTTGAGGTGAAGATGTTACACTCTTGTGCTTAGTCTATTTTAAATATTCTTGGTATGATAAGTTAGGAGAATTGTTTAAAAAGGTCGTGTCTTTATAAAGTGTAGTTTGATTGCTCGAGGACGAGCAATGGTTTAAGTGTGGGGTGCTGATGATAGGCTATAATTACGTATTTTAGTCGCTTATTACACTCTAATTTACTGCACTTTAATTGAGTTTGAGCTTTAATCGCTAGTGTTTTGCACTAACTGTGTGTTTTACGCCTTGTAGTAGTGATTCCAAGCTATGTAGATATTATGGAATGAATTCAAGTGATTTGGAGCTTTGAAGTTTGAGTAAAAGCCCAAGGATACGAGCCGGGATCGCGTTTGGGGGTCAACGGATGATAGTCAGAGTAAACAAAGACTTCAGTAGGCAGATTGCGCACTGTCTAGTAAAATAGATATAACTTTTTACTCATAGCTCTATTTTGGCTCCACAATATATGGTTGGAAACCTAACTCAAAGGTCTACAACTTTCATGTTTTACGTTTTTTCAAATTCGGAACGGAACGCGCGAAGAACGCGCGAAGTCGCGCGTATTAGGGAGCTGAGGCAGAATGGCGCGCGAAGAACGCGCGAAGTCATGCGCGAGCTCGCGCAACTCACCCGGGAAAAGTGTCCTTTTTCACATTGGAGAAGGTATAATTGTTTGGGCCCAAACCTACTTGGTATATATACATGAGAGAACCTTTTTAGAGTGAATTTTGGACGGGAGAGGACGCCACTTTTGGTGATATCTAACACCACGCTTGGAGGAGGCTTCTAACTAGTTTTTCTTCTCTTCTCTTCCTTTAATTTCATAGTTTCTTTGTTCTAGAGTTTTGGATGCTACATGAACGTTGTAGTTTGAAGCTTGAATTGTTCTTATTATTTTATCATATTGGTTTATTTATTCAATCTTGCGCTTAATTATTTGATTGCTTGATCACCAATTGAATACTATCTACGAATCTAGGATTGAACTCGGGAGAGGAAATTCTAGATTGCATATAAGATTGAGTAGAGCAAGATCTTAACTCTTAGGGGGAGCGGATTTGCGGTTAGGATAGGAATATACCTAATCGCCTTGCTTGGTTATTATACGGGAATTATAAATGTATTATTTTTAATCCTAATTCCATAGGAATATAGGCGTTAGGTTAGCTTGAATAGGCGAGTTGTACTTCGCGAGAAGGCTACGAGCAATATTAACCCTGTCAATTAATAAACCAGATAAATTAATTAGACGATTTAAATTGAAAACTCAACGGGATTGTTAGCTAACCCATAACTCTAGAATATTCACTCACATTGAATCTGTCTCTATAATTCGCCAACTTGTTTTCTTTGATCTCTTAATTTGTTACTCTAGTTTAATTTTAGTTAAATATTCATACTTTAGGAATTCGCTTGAATAGATTAATTATTTGGTTTAATTTAGTTGATAGTTAATCACAAGTCCCTGTGGGTACGATGTCTGGACTTATAATCCTATATTACTTCTCGACCACGTATACTTGCGTGTGCGTTTTGGAGCAACACTTTATTACCTTGTTGAAACTTAAAAATAAATGATGCTAGAGAACCATATTGAAATTGTGAAAATATGTTTTTATATAAATTCTCTTTCAAATAGAAAGCATATTAAATAAAAGGAGTAATTTTAAGAAAAATATCAAATTGTAATATCGAAATTCTTTCAAGATTCATCACTCCTTAAGAGATACATATAAGATTTCGTATCGAATACGTTACTTTTGATGTTTGAGTTGTAATGACGTTGCAACTAATTTGCATATTATGATATATGTCATACTTTTCGTATTATTCATAGTTGAGTTATACTTTATAAATATTTTAAATAGATTATCTGTTATAATTTTGTGATTTTAATGTAATTTTTATAATTATTTTTTATTTTATACTATTTTAAAATTTTTGAAATTGTAAAGTTTAAAAATTTGTGGGACTTACGCCCCTTGTCTCAGGGCTTACGACTCGCCTCGTCAGAGGTAAAACGCCACGCCTTACGCCCCGCCTTTTAAAACGTTGCCTTTGAGTGAAGAACCACTAATTAAAATTCCCTGACACTGGAGGGATAATTTTTATATATATAAAAAAAGGACAAAGTGATTATGTATCGATGGTATAGTTGGTTTGACCATCGATACTTAGTTAACGTTCACACACAAATAAATTTTATTCTTAATTTTGGAAATGCTTAAAAAATTCAATGTAGTGACCGGCGAGAATTTTAAAGTGCAATGAGTTGTATGGATTAATACATTTTAAAGTGGCTCTAATGTATTGTTTACACATATTTGGAGGGATGAGTCATGTCCACATAGATTGGAGTAGGCGAGTAGCCTAGTTAGGCATGTCTTAACTTATAGGAATGGAGTACGTTTTTTGTGGAGTAATTAACTAAAGAAATCACACACTTGGAAGCTAAACAGCTAATTAGGCAAAGCTATGACTTCGACGCATTAAGTCATTGTTGGCTTGAGCAGTTTTGTTTGTGACGATTGACAAAGGAACACACGCGTGAACCAGGTTCATGGATAATGTACACAGGTTACGGTCAGAATCAAGTAAAAGGGATATACATGCAAGATATAACTATAAGTGGTTATTTCTCCATGAACGAAAAGATTGCATATTTGATTAGGAGCATGACTCCTTACTTGAAGAGAACTTATCCAAGATAAGATAAGAGTTAGAAGTTGAAGTTAACTAGAACTCTTCTACCAAGGAAGAGTTTAGCATCAGGTTCCTAGTTAATCCTAATCCTACTAACTCTATATATATCAGTGGTGTTCTCTTTTATAGGTGACACACATATACTGAAGTTAACTAGAATTGAGAGCAAAATAGCAAGGCACTTTGGGAGCAATTTTTGTGAGTTTCAAGAGTGCGAAGCTGCATGAACCAGATTGATGAACCAGTTCCATATGTCTGTCTTTTATTCTAATTCAATTTTCGTAGGAGCTTTTGAGTTGTACCTCTCAACTTTTCCTTAGAAGCATCTGTACTAGGTACTTGAGTTGTATTGTTCAAGTTAAAGTTAACTTGAAGCAGTCGCAATAGCCTGTGGCGTGTTGCTACAAGGGTTAAAGTTAATCATTAGGTTTGCAAGAGTTTGTAAATATTAGGAAAAATGTCTTAACACCCCCCTAAACTTGTCGCGAATTATTAGTTTCCTCCCTAAACTATCTAGGGTTTGAATTACCCCCCCCCTCCCCCCCCGGGCTGTCACATGGCACAAGAAGTGATCTCAAATGGTGTTTGGCGCTGAGGGTGGATAAAAATGGCCACCTAATCAGCTCTAACGGTAAAAAAAACCCTAATCAACATTTTCCTTGTATTTTTTTCATATTCCTAATGGTTATTCTTTTATTTCTTCCTCTTTATAAGTTCCTCCATTGAAGCATAACTATTGCTCTTTCTTTTTGTATAAGTTTCCCGGTTTTCTCCAAGACATTGAAGATGAACCTACTTTGTAAATTTGGGTATCCATCACATTTAAAAATCTCATGGTCAAATGACAACCCGGGAAGAAGATTTTTTGGTTGTAAAAACAAGTATAAGGTATGATAAAATAATATTTAGAAGGTTGAAATTGATTATAATATATGTTGGGTTTGTTCAAGGTTTTTCCATTAAAAAATTTGATAGTTGTGCTTTTTGTGCAGGTTAAAGGTCATAACGCTTATAATTTTTTTTAGTGGTACAAACTGGAATTTCCAAAACAAGCTAATGTTGTTATTTTGGGTTTGTTGATGAAGAGAAAAAAACAAGAGCAAGAGCTAAAGTGGAGAAGGACATTGAAGATTAGTTTATGTATTAGTGTAGTATGCAATGTGATGTTGTATTTTGGTTGGTGTCCAATTTAATCTAGTTTTAATTGGTGTCTATGTATTTGATAAATAATAGAATGAATTATAATATTTAGAGCATAGGATATCTTATGAGACGATTATTCCTAATTTTCATGATAATCACAACATTACTGTATGGCCAAATGCTTTCTTTCCTTAGTTTATGGTTGTTACATAGACTGCCTAGATCGACCTTTCTTCAAGAACTCTTCCAGTAACAATTAAAAATTGGTTCTTTTCTTTTGATTGCTTAGATCTATGGTATTAGTAAATAAGGGATAAATTAAGCTAATGTGGTTAATTGAAATTGGAAGTACTCCTTGGTTTTCATTATTTCATAACTTGAAATATAGTTACTGCCACTGGAAATTGCAAGTTTGCGTAGCAAAACTGGATAGCAACAAAAATCTGGACATCACAAAAGAGATGTTTACCTAAAAATCGGACAGCTACACAAAATACTATAAAAAAGAAAGTTGTAATTATCTGATTACATACCAAGCATACACCAAAAAAGCTAACTTAATCAGAGAACAAATCTATGTTGTTTATTTGGATGGAGATTTTCCAATTTGAGATCTTGTTTGAATCTTAATAGCCTTTGCTCTTTTTTTTTTGGACTCTATGCATAGTACTTTTTATTTGGAGTTGTCTTTGACTAATAGCTAGCTTTTCTTTCCACTTCAAAGACCTGCTAGGCTTATACCCAATATCATATGTTAACTTCTGCGGAATTCATCACTATAGGTGTGGTAACTAATCTGCTGCTATGCAAACCTTGCTAAAATTATGAGAAAAAATTTAAATATAACTCCATAAAGCAATAGAAGTAATAAACTTAAATATACCTTCCATAATTTCAAAGCCATGTTCTCCATTCCAATGAATCTTACACTTCATTGACTTCTCCACATTAGTGTTGAAGTTCTTTAATGCCGTTGGAGATATCCCATCAACCCAAGTTTCAGCAAAGGCCCTCATCTTAGCTATCCTTATCATGACTTTGACTCTAATTTCTTATAGCATTGATACAATTGTCTTGTGTCTAGCTCCCAATATCCACGCATTAAAACTTTCCGACATATTCTTGTCCACACTGTCACATTCGGAGAATTCTTTGAAGTAGATTTTGCACCATCTTTCTTTGTTGTATGAAATAAGATCTTCAACAATATTGTGACCCAATGTATTTAATTCATCAAGCCTCTTTTTCAATTCGGCCTCAAATGTTCCTCTAGCATAACTCCAAAACCTCTTCCTTCTCTCAATTCCCCTTCATTTTTTTTTACCAGTTTGATAGAATATGTCTTGCACACATTCTGTACTCACAAGCTGGAAATACTTCTTCATCAACACTAACCGAACCCTACAAAAGAAAAAGAAATAATAAATAACAATAAAAACAGTAAAAAAGCAATAAATAACAGTATGGTATCATACCTTGTGCATGTCACTGATTATAGTGACCTCATTTCCATCTCTAAGCTATAAGTCCTCTTGCAATATCCTCATAAACCATGTCCATGTTTCCTTTTTTTTTTTTCCAGTCCCAACAACGGCCCATGCTATGGGAAACATATGGTTGTTTCCATCTTTAGCAATTGCAACTAATAATTCTCCTTTGTATATCCCTTTCAAAAAACAACCATCCAGTCATATACACTTTCTGCAACCCTACATGAATTCCCTTTTCATAGCAGCAATATATATAGAAGCTTATAAACTCTTTCTTACCATCTTCTAAATCAGCTACCTTAACTACACATGTGCTACTGGGATTTGTTTGTAGAAGCACATCTCTATAGTCAAAAAGTCTACCAAACACAGCAATATGATCTCCCATGACTTCTTTCAAAATAATTTTTCTTGTCTTTAAACAAATAGCCTTACCCACATACACACCAAAGTCTTCCCTGACAAGATCTTGTATTTTTTACCCTTTAATGGTAGGTTGTGAAATAATCCTCTCCTTATAATGATTATCTAGATATTTAGAATTGCAAAGAAAGTTGACGTTAGTCTTATGGCATTTATGTCTATGATTATATGTCTTGACTGTGAAATTTGAACTCCAACCTTCCTTGCTAGCATATATCATCCAAGGACAACTATCTTTGCACTTTACCCTAACTCTACGTGGCTCATTCTTATATTTGTCTAGTTGAACCCCTTTCTTTACAGCATACTTGGTCAAAGTCTCTCTAAACGTACGTGCAGACTACCCCAAAATATAAAAATAAGAAACCCCTAAATTTTGCAAATTATTACAGAAAACCCTACACTCCATCCATGCACAAAATTACTGATTTTACACATAAAAAGTTCAATTTTTAAAGCCTTAACTCAACAAAATAGAAGATAGAAAGCAAAGATATTCATCTTTGTTATATATCACAAAACCCTAATCTAAAAGTAAAGCTTGAAATCCCTAACCTTTTGGTTTTGTCTGTTTGAAATAGTTGGAGAAGACCATTGAAAAAGCTTGATGACTGGAGAAGAAATCACAAACGATCAGAAATACACCACAATTGAAATCTTATTCTACTCTATTGGAAAAAACTGACATAGATTAAACCACAAAACCAACAACATAGGTTCAACAACTCACCAAAACTCGATTATCAGATATTTAGAGATCGTAAATTGAAAATTTCAATGTAAATAGAAGTGACATTGGGAGAGACATTTGAGAAATTTTTTGACAGAGAGAGAAGGGTTTAGAGAAAAATGAAAGGCAAAATGTTTTACTTCTAACGTTTTGCCTGCCTTTTACCCTTTCTTCATTTTTCTCACTTTTTTTCTTTAGTTATTAGTGTAAAAATTTAATATCATTTTATTTGTCCTACATGGAGTACAAATAAGAAATATTGTCCAGATGTATCGCGCGTACATACACTTAACTAGGTGTATGAGACCCGGGGGGGGGGGG